AAGATTTACTGATGCTGTGAGCTTCACATGTTGTGTGGTTGAATACTGTCAGACATCAGGGCTTTTGGTTGGGCCCCTTGTACAGATAGGAAAGCTGAGTCTCACAGGTGGTGCCCTAAGTCAAACAAGGTCAAGGGCAACCCTAAGGCTTGAGCCAAGTTGTCTGACTCTAGAGTTCCATCTTCATCACAAAGCCATCTGTCCACTGCATGCCCACTCCACTCTGGAGCCCCTGCCCTCTAGGCTCCACACCTAGGCCAGCTCTGTCCCTCAGGGGTGACAACTCGAGAGCACTGGCTGTGATCCCAGGCTCTCCCAGGAATCAAGTTTACACCCACCAGTGATACTCCCATGAAGTTCAAGGAGTCTTCCTTATTTTAAACCCAGACCTAGGAAAGAGGGGAGGAGATTTTATGTTAATGGTGGTGGAGTGATTTGGAAAAGAATGGTGACAGCGTCCAGGGTGGAGTCAATGTCACCGCACTGGCGCACTGGTGAGGTGGAGATAGACGGCTGAGTCGGTGGCCGTCTGTATTTGGTCCCACTCTCCTTGTTTTTATTGCTTTAGTTTATGGATTCTTACAAAGACTTGCCCTCTTCACATAGCAGCCTGGGCTGCAGTGGCTCCCGGTGGGTTCTTTGTCCCTGAGTTCAAGCCTGACTGGATGATATTCCAGAATCTTCTGCAGGTGCTCCTTTGGCAAACAGAGTGCTATGATCCTGGTACCCAGACAGGACGATGCTCCCCCATGGTGCTGAGGGGGTGGGCTGGGGTTTTGATTGTGGGTGGCCTGTGCCTGGGCAGGACAGGGCACAGCCAGGACCCTGTCTGGCCAGCGAGGAGCCTGGTCCAGATGGGATGAGGCTGGACTGCAGCCCCCACAAGGCCAAGTCTCACGCGTGAGGAGAGCTGCTGGTGCCCCTCTTGGGCGACAGGCCGGGTAAGCTCATGCTCGAGTCCTGCTTGCTGTTCACGAATGCAGTCCACACACAGCTCTGGGACACGTTTGCTCGGGGCCTCCTAGGAGTCTCAGTGGTCCTGATGCAAAGATCGAGATAAACGAGAAGGAAGTGGACGGATCTGGACTATAGGGTGGGCAGTGAGCCGAGGAATGCTCTCCACGGTGGGGGTGGGGTGACCCAGGACGAGAGCAAGCACTGTCCCATGGATCTAAGGGAGCGGCAGACGGATTGGGGACCTGAAAGAACCCAGAAACCAACTCAAGGAGAGAGGAAGAAATGAGGGAGACCAGCCTAGGCTGAGGCTGGGCGCTTGGGACCAGACAGGGCAGGGTCTATCCTGAGGGGCTCAGGGCCCAGGCTTCACCTCTCCTGAGACCCTGGGGGTCTGCCAGCAGCAGTGTTGATGGATGTGGTTAAGTTGTCCACCTTGGTGACCTTCTTGTCCCTGGCAGGTATGAGGAGGGGGTGCTGGGTAGTCCCTGGACAGGGCAGATGTGCCCTTGGCAATGAACTTTAAGAGGCGTTTGGTGTCTTCTAGGCTGCAACACTTCCATGATACATCTTCAAGGATATGAACATGTATGGCTAAGCACGATTGATAACAGTGCACCTAAATTCCAAAATCAATCTCCATAATAGTCTATGTGTTTCCTATTGCCAAAGGGGCCCTTTAGAGTAGTGAGAGAAGACCTTCACCCTGAAACC